TTCGCGGGTGATGGTGTCCCGGGTGGTCAGCCGTGTTCTTGCGGCTAAGCTGCCTGTGTTCTTCCCTCATGCCTGTGGCGTTCGTGGCTTCGCTGCTCTCGCTGCCGTCTGGGCGACGTGGCCTTGCAGTCTTTCGGGCATGGATTTTTGGTGTTCGTGCAGGGGCCTTGCTGCTCGTGGTTCTCGTGTTGTTCCCGGGATTTTCGGGGCTGTGGCGCCTTGGGTTGGCGTTTGCTGCCGGTTGTCTCGCCTCCTTGGGGGGTGCGTGGTGTCCGCCTCCCGGTTTTGTCCCTTTGACCTTCCTCTGTGGGTAGTTAGCTCCGGGGAGCCGACGGGGCTCCCCCCAGAAAACCAGCGTTGAATGTAATGAAACGCCATTTTCTGGGTGAGACCCGGAGGCTCCCCGGCAACCCTCCCTCCCTCCGGTCGGCGTTTTTCGCGTGTTTTGACATCCAGCCTCAGAACTGATGGGTGGATAGCCGGCGTGGGAGGTCTGGGGCTCCCCCTTCCCCCTCCCGGGGAGGGGGGAGCTGCGCAGACAGCGGCGCGGTGACGTATGACGTCATACTAGTTTCCGTGTTTTCTGTTGAAGAGTTCTATTCACTAGTTCGGCTTAGGTAGCAATTTTCACCAGAATAGGGGTTTGTTTTGGAATGCTTACCTTTCTGGATGCTTGACCCGGTCGATGGCAGACATAGAATGCTTCCAACCACACGGGGGTTTCTATAGGCCATTGCTCCCCTTGCCTCTCTGAGGGGGCCAGGTTCTGGCTCGTGGTCCCCGGTAGGCCCTAGAACTCCATACACATGACTGATGCCAAAGTCTGACATTAGCATATCAGCCGGTAAAGCTCCGGGGAGCCTCCGGGTCTCACCCAGAAAATGGCGTTTCATTACATTCAACGCTGGTTTTTTCGTAATTCTTTAGCATGTCCAAAATCATGTGCACATTAATTATGGTGCGCAGGTGGCTTCGTTGTTGGTCTCCCACCTGCGTGCTTCGTCTCGGCGGCAGTATGAAGTTTCCTGGCAGTCTTTCCGTTTTTTTCTGTCACTGTGTAGGTGTACTTTGGTCTCTGATATTGTTGTCGTATCCTTCCTTTCGTGGTTGTTCGAGGACCGTCATCTTATGCCGAATACTGTCGCCTCGTATCGTGCAGCGCTAGAGCAGCCACTGCAGCTTGCGTTCGGTATTGATGTTATTTCTGCTCCGTTCCACAAGGTGTCTTGTGCATTGTTTCACCTCCGGCCTGCTCATTCACCTCCTGAGCTATCCTGGTCGTTGAACCGAGTGCTTTCTTTTCTCTCTTTTCCTCGGTTTGTCGTGGCTCCTTTGGTTCAGGATTGTTTTTCTATGGCTCTTTTTTTTCCTGTTGGCATAGGCTCCTGGGGGTCGGGTCAAGGAGCTTCATGCTCTCCTCCGGCACAGGGGTTTTTCTGCCTGTTTGGTCCTGGTGGTAGGTTTGTTTGTTTGTAGCCATCTCCTTCTTTTCTGGCAATGATTGGGTCTGCTGCTTTCCGGAGGGGTCCTTGGGTTGTTGATGTTTGGTTGGTTAGGCCGGGGGGTGCATCATGTGTTGTGTTCAGTTGCGACTCTCCGCTGTTATCTGTGCATCATGGCCTTTGTGGCCATGGGCGCGTTTTGAGTTGACCGGTTTCCTTCCTTCCTTCCTTCCTGTTCCAGGGTTTGGGTCTCCCAGGTCGTCCACAGGGTCCTTCGGTTATGCCAGTTGTCTTGATTTTTAATTTAGGGTGTGTGGCATCCACTTCCTGGGTCCTTCCCTCTTTTTCCTTATCTTTGGTGATGTAGCTCCAGGGAGCCGACGGGGCTCCCCTCAGAAAACCTGCGTTGAATGTACTGAAACACCATTTTCTGGGCGATTCCCGGAGGCTTCCCGGCATCCCTCCCTCCCTCTGGTCGTCGGTGTTTTTCGCGTGTTTTTGACATCCAGAACAAGAACTGATGGTTGGATCGCCGGGATGAGGATCTGGTGCTCCCCCTTTCCCCTCCCAGGGAGGGGTTGCGCAGACAGCAGCGCAGCAACGTGATGAAGTCATGCTCATTTGCTATTTTTCGTTTGAGGAGTTCTGTCCACACTTTCGGCTTTCGGTAGCAATATTTTCACCAGAATAGGGGTTTGTTTTGGGACGCCTACCTTTCTGGGTGCCAGACCTGGTTGATGGCAGACATAGAAAGCTCCCATCCACTCAGGGGTTTCTATGGCCCACACGAGGGCCATTGCTCCTCGTGCCTCTCTGAGGGGGCCAGGTTCTGGCTCATGTTCACTGGTACCTTACCTTGAGGTTACCTTGAGGTGCTTCCGGGGCTTAGCGTCCCCGGGGCCCGGTCGTCGACCAGGCCCCCTGGTTGCCGGACTGATCAACCAGGCTGTTGGACGCGGCTGCTCGCAGCCTGACGTATGAGTCACAGCCTGGTTGATCAGGTATCCTTTGGAGGTGCTTATCCAGTTCTCTCTTGAACACTGTGAGGGGTCGGCCAGTTATGCCCCTTATGTGTAGTGGAAGCGTGTTGAACAGTCTCGGGCCTCTGATGTTGATAGAGTTCTCTCTCAGAGTACCTGTTGCACCTCTGCTTTTCAACGGGGCTATTCTGCACATCCTGCCATGTCTTCTGGTTTCATGTGATGTTATTTCTGTGTGCAGGTTTGGGACCAGCCCCTCTAATATTTTCCACGTGTAAATTATTATGTACCTCTCCCGCCTGCGCTCAAGGGAGTACAGTTTTAGGCTCTTTAGTCGGTTCGTTGGTAGGCAAGAACTCCATGTACTTTGATGCTGGAACGCTAATAATGCCTTATCAGCGTGGAATCTCCAAGGAGCCTTTGGGGCTCACCCAGAAAAAGGTGTTTCATTACATTGAACGCTGGTTTTTACTCTGAAATAATTTTATTTCATAATAAAATTAGAAGTAAATATGTAACAGGAGATGCCATAGGAAGTCGTGGGTCCAAGTGACAATGTTGTGGAGCAACTTATCCAAGATATGTTGTCGCCTGGTAAGTGTTTGCTGGCATATCAGCCTCCTGTACACAGTGATCCAGTCTTTGCACTTCTCTGCTCAAATTTTCACAAATTTAATTGGTGATATTGTCTTAGCAAGTAGAATGCGTATTTATAATAATATCTAGCATAAATAGCCACAAAACATTTAAATTTATTTTTAAAAATGTGTCTAGAAGTTAAATCAACTCCATAAGACAATAGTTTTGTTATATAGATATTATTGTTATTCGTTGGTATGGGTTCGCTACTTAAACTACCCATGTGTTTATCGCTCATAGAACACTGAACCCTACACACACTCTGACATATTGCTTAATTAATAGAGACTCACAAGTAAAGCTTATATCTGAACAGAATATTATAAAAAAGGCAGATATAAAATAGTTTTTGTGAATTCACATACTGGAGTGAACGATATGGAAGAAAATGCAGAATAGAACCAGTGAAAAGCAGGGGTGCCATAGGCACAATCAGAGAACACTGTGTAAACATCAGAGATCCAAGGTTGTTCAACACCCTCCCAGCAAGCATAAGAAATATTGCCAGAACAACCATGGACATCTTCAAGAGGAAACTAGATTGTTTCCTCCAAGGAGTGCCGGACCAACCGGGCTGTGGTGGGTATGTGAGCCTGCGGGCAGCTCCAAGCAACAGCCTAGTGGACCAAACTCTCACAAGTCAAGCTTGGCCTTGGGCCGGGCTTGGGGAGTAGAAGAACTCCCAGAACCCCATCAACCAGGTAATCCATCACAGAAATTTGATCTTATTAGAGAGGAAAGATATTAATATTTTAAAGAAGGATTCTTGGTTGACGCTCTCCTTATCGATGAGAACTTTTGAAGATCAACGTTAATTTGATCTAGGTACTGTAATAAACGAAGTTTTCTGTCATCAGAAAGACAGAAATATAAGCTACATTTTATATACTTTGTCATAAATATAACTGCAGTTAAAATAAAGTTATATGCATTTTTATAGTTAATGGCTATCTCAGGGAGTGTAAAGTCCTGCACCCTCACTACCATCTCCCACTCAAGCTTCCCTCACCACCCCTGCCACGAGGCCTGATTGACTCTTGCTTGATGAGCTTCCTGAACCATTTTATACGAACTTTGAGTTACCCAAACTTGAGTGTCCGAACCAACCACAATTGGGAAACTGGAAGTTTTGGATACATGGCATTCGCAAAGCTCGTGGCTGTCTGTATTCATATTATAGCTTCCTCAGTTTAATTGATCCATATTATTCAGCAATTTCTTTGTGTTCATGTCTTAGGTAAGGATTATCATCAATACTATGTATCCCTTAATTTTATTTTGTGATAATTGGTATTTGTGATTTTTATTATGTGATAATAATTTGTTGTGATATTGATTACATGATAATTGTATAGTTAACTCTTGGACATAGGCAATGGAAAAAATGGTCAAACTCACCTATGCACAGAAAAGGAAAAATTCCACAAAGTCTTTTTCATTATAGAATTATTAATTTGTATGCAAAATGTAAGTGATAACCAGTATACAAATAAGTGAATATTTACCTTTATACTGGTAATACTAGGTGGAAGTGCTTTGAAAGGTTCACGGTGGCTATGTGGTCTAGTGTCTGTCAACACAATGTCGACTTTGCTGACACTGAGGTATGCAAGATATGACTCCTGTGTCCTACTCAAATGTTTTATTGATTGTTTATCACTTGTTTCTCTTTATTTACAAGAATACGTATACAATGACAATGACTACATTCACCTAGAAACATGTATGATAATGACCATATTCACATTGTATCATAACTATGAAATGATAGCAGAATTTTTTCAGGAGTCAAGGTAAAATCCATTACATCCACATAGAGCTATTATATCATTATTTGCATCATACATGTAAAACCTAAATAATAATTGTTTAAATCAACGTATGACAATAACCTTTGTCTAAGGGTTAATGTAATCTTGATTGTAATTCACTATTTCAGGTATACCTTCAACAACTTATTGTTCTCTGTAGTGAATTAGAAGGCTCTCCACTATGTGGCGCTTCTCCATCCCGTACCACTCTGGCGTACTTCTCTCCCTTCTTCCAGCGAGGAGTTTTTGAAGCCTCTAGACATAATACAAGCTAGATTTGGAGCAACAATGATGTTGGTGATGTCAAAAGTTATTGCTAATTTTTCCATTGTCACATGTAAGAAAATATTGTATGAGCAGGGAGGGTTGAGCTGTGTATTTTAGACTGAAGATTAGTTAATGTGTATAATCTGTATCCATAAAAACTGATATGAATACGAATTTATTTCTATTACCATAGAATCAGTATGAAAATTCAAAGTAATAAATCTATATAAATGTACTGTAAAAATTATCGTAGCAACTTTTTTTTTCAGATTTATATACTGTATAAAAAATTGACTAGATATTAAGAAGTGCAATGTTGATTGCCATTGCACATAAGAAAATATCAATAAAGTATGATTATTGAGTATGATAATCATACTTTATGTAAAGTATGATGTTATTGAGGCAGCAATATTTATGCACAAAAACATTAATCAAAAATATTCAAAAGTATAATAGCCATTTTCTGTACATTTGTAGTTTCATTATGACAGTTTGAACTTGAGAGAGAGCTTGTTTAGCCACTCCCTGTGAAATGTAGCACTCACTTCATGGTTTTCCATTAATTTATTATTTGTATTAAATATCTTCATAATTTCTTAAATTTAAATGAAATAACTACCCTCTAATCATGTTAGCTAAGATAATTTTTTATTATAAATATATATTATACATATATTGTATAAATATATATATTACATAAATATATATATTATATATATTGTATAAATATTTTTTTTTTTAAATAAAGGAAGGGAGTACCCCCCTCTGGCTGGAAGAAGGGGACTCTTACCCTCGGAGGAAACCACTCATAATGCATTGGAGCGAATGTTTAGGTCCCCTCCAACACAGTTTTCTCCTACCACCTTCTTTTTCTGTGTCTAGCTATATATATATATATATATGTATGTGTATGTGTATGTGTTGAATATGACCGAAAAGGT